TCTGCAAATGTATTCCTAAGTTGAACTTAAACTAAACAAAACAAGTCTGTTTATATTTCTGAAAGCTTTATAATCTTTCCCAATAAGATTTTTAGATGTGTATAGATGGAAGATAGGAAAAACGTGTTTAGCAATAAAGCCACATTACTGAGAAACCTATGCAGAATGCCCCTAAATGGAAGTCACATCACTAATTTGTTTTCCTTCTTGACCTTACAGAGGAAGAACCATTAGAATCTACTCTCAGGTTTGATCCCATATTATATGTGACATCCTTAGCAACGAGCTAGGAAAATGATCTGAATTATACCAATAGGAGAGTTCAAGTAGTAGTGATCAAAGCATATGTACATGTGCTAGAAAGGAAGAAAATGCTTGCTCTACAGTGGTTTTGCCTAGGCCCAGTGTAAATGTACTTATCAAGGCAGATCTTTAATAAGCTACTGCACCTTTTACGTTACATTCAGAAATAAGAAATCAGGTGGAGTTATCAACTTGAATACAAGACTGAAAATAACCAACCCTAAACTACCTGTCAACAACAGTGCACTGGATTCAACAGGTGTGAAAGGCAAGGGATAAAACCAAACTGCTCTGGTAAAGAGAGAAAAACTAAGTGCAAATGCAAACCTTCATGTTAAAGGAAACCACAAAACATCAGGCATGTAGAGCATGTTTTAAAACTGAAAATAAGGTGTATTACATAAAATGGTATTTTTAACATTCCAGTTTTGGCCTTTTAAGGGGAATGGGGAGAGACTTAAGCCTATTGGGGAAAATGCAGAAAATGAGTGGGACCTAGAAAAGGGGGTTGAGGTGATGGGAAGTTAGGGAAGACCAAAAAAACAAATACATTCAAAATGGATTTAGAATCACTCTAAATCTATCTTCTCCAAAAAATGTTTTCTAAGTTGAGAGATTTGGTCAAAGAAGTTAATGACAATAAAAGCAACCGTTTACCTTAAAAAAGAAAGTATTTAAATGTAGATTAGAAATAAGCTGTCAAAGACTGGTCACTGACCAGACTGTAGAAACTGAAACTTAAGTGTGCTGTCAGTGATACATGGCAGAAAATTACTTCCAAAAATAGAATCGCCATGGGATTCAACATTAATAAAACTCTTAAGAAACAACTCTTAATGTTTTGTACTTACAGCCTAATATAAAAATGTTTCTACTCTTACTATAAAGAAATTTCAATTTTTAGCTCAAGTAAAAAATACTGCAGCTACATTTAAGTTTTCTAAGGTAAAACTTGAGAAGATACAGAATGTTCTATTCCAATATACTGGGCTCAAAACGAATTATACTTTTGAAATGCATCTAGGCTAGATTATATTCCTTACATAGTATCATTGTCATCAACATCTTCATGCTTTCTCTTCAATGGGTTTGATTCATTGGTCGTGTTCTGTGATGAAACCATGTTGGTAGTAATAAGAATATTTTTTGGCCCAATCATTGAAGGATTAATCAGAACATTCTGAACTCCAGTTGTTGCAGGAACTGTAAACAGAAGAAACCCACCCCAACTATAAACAACAGAATCCCAAACATGGTAAAAAGTATACAAGAAGCTGAATGTAATTCCAATACTAATTTCAGTAATACGAAGTACAATTATATCACAGAAGAAACTCAAGTAATTATAGTGCATGAAGAACTGATTTTTTAAAATACTTTATAAAGTACTTAAATGTAGCTAAGTGCAAAAAGTAAGTTTTTTTTTTGGGGGGGGAGGGAGGATCTTAACTACCTAAAATTTCAATTAGTACTCAGACATGGGAAACAGTGCACTGGATTCATTGTGGAACATACTAAAGGCACATGTTAGCAGTAAGGAATCAAGCTTCCTTTATAGGCCAATATTTTATATAAGTTGTTTACTCTGAGAAGTTAGGTTTCAGAAGATGTGAAATCTAAAAATATGCACTAATAAACAATGCTGTAACAAAATTCTTGTATTATTCCAACTTTATATATATCCCTCTAAGAAGTGAGTAAAGGTACAATTAAAGATATAATTTTCATTTGAATTTACATTTGTGTCTGGATTGCACACACATATTCACCTTGAAGTTGTCTTTTTCTTGAGCTTTAACCCTAAGTGTTTTGCCCTGTAGATGCCTCGATGACCACACTGAGTACTCCCTCCTTCCCCTTGAAAATGTTACATGTATGTAGAATTTCATACAATTTTAGAGGGCTGATAGGCTCCTCTTAAGAACCTCGATTTGCAGCATTCTTCCACCTTCTTGTCATGATATTAAACAATTTAACTCTTACTATAGGAGCACAAACTGTTCACTTATTAATCCCGGTTTTTAAAATTCAGAAAGAATATTTTAAAAGACACCTTCCCTGCCCCAAGAACATTACCTGGTTTGATAGGTGTGGACTGAGAAGGTGGAATCTGCACCGTAAATCTTTGGCTTGTCACTGACACTGGAGTTGCAACTTTATTTGGGACAGATACTGTTTGTGGGGCCGCTGTAGTTATAATTAACAGACCATGTTAGATGACTTAGACAGATTTATAGTCTGCAGTTCTTACCTTACCAGAAACTACCTTCAAAGCACAGAAAACTAATGAAAGGTAAGAAAAGAAATCATTAGAAATAAGAGCAAAGTAACAAGAAAAGTTTACAAGCTCAATAGTTTAGATGCTACAAAATTCAGCATTGTTTTGTGGTGAAGAATGCAGGCTCTCTGGAGCCTAACTGCTTGAGTTTGAATCCAGGCTCTCTCACTAGCTGAGTGTCCTTGAGCAAGTTATTTAATCTTTTTGTACCTCAGTTTTCTCATCTGCAAAATGGAGATAATAGTACCTGTTTCATAGGATTGTTTGAGAATTAAATATAATAACCCGTGTAAAGCTCTTAACAGCATCTGGCACATAGTGAACACTGAATTTTAGCTATTCTTACTACATGAAGCCATGAAGTTGAGAGCTTAAACTAGCAAAATAAAGACCTAAGCTTTCTACTAATTACCTTAGGTGGCACTTTTAATTGCTGTCACATGCTCAGAGTTAGATGATGTCTACTATGCCCATGAACCTAAACCAACATACCTTTAACAAAAGAAGCCTATCAAATACATCCCTTGGGGTCTGCAGGTGGGCATGAAAAACTTAACTCTTTTCTATACTCAGGGACTTGGAGCATAAGGGTTCTTGGAGATAACCTAGTCTAAACTCCTCCTCATCACCCAAATTCTACCCATTAAGCCAAGGTACAACTCAAATATCACCCCATTTCATAAAACTTTCCTTGATTTGCTCAGTTAGAGGTCTCCTGTCTCTGAAATTCCTTTAACACTTCACAGGAGTCTTATTTTAATATCTTGTCTCATTCGTTAGATTACAAGCCTTGATAACATTTATCCTTAAAAGCACATGGCTGTTGTGCCTTGTTCATAATAAGCACTCAACAAATGTTCGCTTAATGAGTTTTCCAAATGATAATGTCAAGACTGACATCATAGCTCTCTCTCACCTCAAAAAAATCATTTATAGAAACACATCTGTTCCTAGTTTTTCCTTTGGAGAACTCGTCTTTCCATATCTCCCTTCCCCCTGGAACCAGCAGTCTATCCAGGGATAGAGTTGCTGAAGAAACTACAACTATCATCATCTGTAGGGACAAAGAGGGAGAAAAAATCCAAATAGATGGAGAAAACCCAAAGGTACCCAGGAATCTTGAGTTCTAGTGCTTTCTCTCTCAAGTCCAGAAGATGAGGCCTTACTCTAACATATCACCCTCCCTATGCAAGTCTTTCCATGTATTAAGGAGTGGTTCAAAGAATTTGGTGAAGCTTAGTGAAGCAATGCAAGTTATTTTATTTTGTCAAGAAAATTCATAATATGTTTTCTGGGTCATTACCACAAGCAATTGTAAATGCATTGAAGCAGACACAGAGTTTAGGCTTTAAAATTGTACAGAGTAGATGCTTTGGCTTGTGCTTTATAAAGCTAATTTAAATTAAAAAAAAAACTTTAAAACCTGCATATTTAACAGGAGTTTTTAGTAGCACCCTCAGTCTAGATTTTTAAAAAATTTCTAAAGCTTGCACAACAAAGGTCTAACTAGGAATAAAAATCACAACTGATAACTAAAATTAGTTAACTTGCCAAACATGTATAACTGATTATGACAGCCCAGGGTTTTTTTAAAAATTAGTATTTACTTAAGTAATGTGAATCCAGATAAAACAGTATATTATCAAAAAGTTACAAGGAAACACAGATTATATATGTAAATTTCTATCCAGAAAGGTCACATGCAGGTAATTATAAGTATACAACTAATACTATGCCAAGCTGATTTTAAAATGCAGAAATATAAATGTACATCCTGAGAATATGAACAAATGGTCTACACACCTCAAAAATCAAATGGTGCTTATACTAAAGTTATTTGACAGCTATAGGATTCAAGTTATAAGCAATAAGAGTCAAGAAATTAATACTGGTCAAAGAGTAGGAGTTTTTTTCCGAAAATAATTTGCTTACTAGACTGAGAGAAATCCAGCAGGAGCATAGAAAAAAAAATCAGGAAATCTAAATCCATTATTTACTCTTTCCTTATCTAAACATTAAAAAGAAATCACAGCCCAAAGAATAGTTTCTAAATACCATTCTCCACTAAAAGGAACCAGGGCTCTATGGAGAAGTGGGTGATTCTAGAACTAAGTCAGGGAAAAAGGTAAGATGAGCCTAGAACATCTTGTTCCAGAAAAGTAAGGAATGCTCAAGGAATGATGGAGATCTGTCAAAAAGGGGACAGGAGCCAGCCTGGGCTGCTCTTAAGCTTTGTGTACATTTTAAAACTCATTTCTTTTGCCTGCATTCCTCTTGCCGGTTTATTCAGAAATTTCTTTAATTTCTGATAAGTAGACTACTGCCATTAGTGTTTAACTACTTCATTTGTACAGTAGACAGAAAGAACACAGTTTAGAGTAAAATGCTGTTTTTGATATCATACCAACAATGTTGGGCTGATACATCCAATTCTATACTCATTTGGGATCAGCTAGTCCTTCTAACTTTCTCATTCTGAAATTTGATAAAATATATGTTTATAGCTTTACTGGAGGATGAGTAAAGGTATCAATGCAACACACGGGGATCTCTGACTCACCTTATGACTTGGATTATGGTTCAAAACCAAGAGCTGAGGCACTTCTTTATCAGCCAGAAAAGTTCCCCCTCTCACTTACCTATAGTAGGAGTGGTAGGTCTGCTACTAACAGCACCAACACTTAACCGTGGAACTAGTCTTCCTTGGTTAGGTCCCTAGGTAAAAAACAATCTAACTTTAATGTTGTTAAGATCTGACACCTAAATTTATCAGGAATGAAATTAGGATTATTGATGGGAATTATTAATGGATAAACCATGGCAAGAATTTCCTGTTTTACTTCTACCAGTATTCTAAATCCAAACTTAGGGTTTTCATATATATATATATATATATATATACACACACACATACACATATGTATGTACAAATATAAAAATAAAATCCTATATAGTATGTAAGTTTAAGGTAGAAACTTCCTTGAATGGAGATACCAGCTAATTTCCTTATGATTTTTAATCTTATCCTAACTAGCCAATATCTTAAACCAAAAAGAAAGAAACTCATACTGGAATTTCAGACAATAAAGGCAGCCCAGCGTGTAGAGAACTTTTTCAGTGGTGGAACCCTTCCTGGAGAGCCTCAGATCATATTTCAGAAAGCCATCCCAATTCCTGATGGTGTATCATTTACTGTGTTATCAGGCCTGACTAAAAAAAACAGTATAATGGGAAGATTGGGAGTTAGACCTGACAGTCAGTTCTACCTTTGCTACTAACTCCACAAATGAGTTCAGTTTCCTGATGTGAAAAATGAGTATTAGGTTAGATGAACAATAAAGTTCCTCTGAGCTCTAAAAATCTTGGATCCTTCCTTTATTTTGTATTTTAACATAATACCTAATTACAGAAGTTGTATTTACAAGGCAGTAAATTTAAAAAAAAAAATTGTGAAGAATGAGAATTCCAGAACACTTAATTGTGCTCATGAAGAACCTGTACATAGACCAAGAGGCAGTCGTTCGAACAGAACAAGGGGAAACTGCATGGTTTAAAGTCAGGAAAGGTGTGTGTCAGGGTTGTATCCTTTCACCTTATTCAATCTGTATGCTGAGCAAATTATCCGAGAAGCTGGACTATATGAAGAAGAACGTGGCATCAGGATTGGAGGAAGACTCTAACAACCTGCGATATGTAGATGACACAACCTTGCTTGCTGAAAGTGAAGAGGACTTCAAGCACTTACTGATGCAGATCAAAGACTACAGCTTTCAGTATGGATTGCATCTCAACATAAAGAAAACAAAAATCTTCATAACTGGACCAATAAGCAACATCATGATAAACGGAGAAAAGATTGAAGTTGTCAAGGTTTCATTTTACTTGGATCCACAATCAGGCCCATGGAAACAGCAGTCAAGAAATCAAATGACACATTGCATTGGGCAAATCTGCTGCAAAAGATCTCTTTAAAGTGTTAAAAAGCAAAGACGTCACTTTGAGGACTAACGTGCACCTAACCCAAACCATGGTATTTTCAGTTGCCTCATATGCATGTGAAAGCTGGACAACCAATAAGGAAGACAGAAGAAGAACTGATGCCTTTGCATTATGGTGTTGGTGAAGAATACTGAATATACCATAGACTGCCAAAAGACTGAACTAATCTGTCTTGGAAGAAGTACAACCAGAATGCTCCTTAGAAGGAAGGATGGTGAGACTCTGTCTCACTTACTTTGGACATGTTATCTCAGGAGGGACCAGTCCCTGGAGAAGGATGTCATGCTCGGTAAAGTAGAGGGTCACTGAAAAAGAGGGACCCTCAAGGAGATGGACTGACACAGTGGCTGCAACAATGGGCTCAAGCATAACAATGATTGTGAGGATGGAGCGGGACCGGGCAGCATTTTGTTCTGTTGTAATAGGGTTGCTATGAGTCGGAACCAACTCGATGGCACCTAAAAACAACAAATTTAAAACATTCCTACTAAATTTATCTTAGCCTTCATCTACTGCGTTATCTGTGAGGTACATGGGTGCTTTTTAAAAACTGCCCTATAATATCCCTTCTTTTTAAAAAGTTGACTAAAAATTCTTACCTTTTTAATTAAGGACTTCAGCCTATAGTTTGGAGCTGTTAAGCAGTATCTGTCAGGTGGCAGTCTAGGTCCTGCATATGGCTTAATCAGTGGTAAAGGGGTTTGATTTTTCTGCCTTGCAATATCCAGTAAAAACTAAAAAAAAAAAATCCTTATTAGAATCACAATTTCAAAAATTATAAGTACAAATAACTTCAAATAAAAGTTTGCTCACATCTCTTGGGGGAGGAGAGGTAAAAGATTGGTCAGCACGACACTGGATTGCCAATCTCACATCATCTGCATCAACGTTAGGTTTTTTAGCATGGCTTGAATAAATTTTTGCATCATCCAGAATTGTAGTCACATATCCTTTAGGCATAAAACAATTTTTCTTAGACAGGAAAAGATTTAATATTTATGACCACTTTTCTTAATAAAAGGTTCCACTAATTTCTAGAAAGTATGAATTCTGGTTTTAATATCTAATTGTCCTATCTATATGATCAACTTTAAACAGGTATCACAGTATAAATTCTACTGTCTCCCAGCTTGAGCTTATTTTTACTGCTTTAGGCAGAATTCTATTACATTAACTATTAAAATAATTTGGTTGAAAATACTGTCTTGCCAAATTCACAAGTTAGGCAAAGTTTTGGTGTTTTGTTAACTTACGGAAAGCAAATTCCAACATTTGATTTATAACCCTTGGTTCATACTCTGTAATTCCCATATCCTTCAGGATCTGTGCCATCACCTGTGGATTCAAATAAAAACACCAGATGCATAATACAGACATTTGAAATCAAGGCTGGACAGAAGGAAGTATTTATTTTATGATACATGTCCCCCTACTCTGGGCTCCAAATTCCTACTCATCCTTTTCCTCCCAAACGAGTGTCTTGATCACACCAAATCACGGCGAACGTTCTTTGCTGGAAACTTTTTTTTTGCGGGGGGGTTAGGGGCGGGGGCAAAGAAAAAAAAAGGCCCTGTGTTGGCTTTCCCAGCAGAGGGATGGGTAGGGCTGGTTGTCATTTTCGGGCTGGCTGTCATTTTCGGATGTGGCAAAGGGGGAAACTAAGCATCAGAATCCTGGACGCGGAGAGTCAGGGCTCATGGATCCCTTGAGAGCGATAAGGTAACAGGGCCCGAGGCACTGGAGACAAAGCCCTGCGGCCGGCCTGCGCACTCCTGGAGAACTATGATTTACCAAGGGGGTTCGGCCAGTTTGGCGGGAGAGTGCTTCAGGGGCCAGGGCGCACCCCAATCTCCCACTCCTAGACGTCCCGGCAGGGCTGAAGCTGGCACGGGAGCCCGCCCTCCAGCCGTCTGCCTGGGCTTGACTCCCACATTCCGGGCTGCGCTGAGCTTCGTGCCCCACATCTCATCCTTCGCACTTACCAAGGCATCTCTCGGAGCGTTCTTGGGAGTCGCCATCTTGCTCGACTCCATGTTATCCAGGCAGTCGTCATCCGGTGATAAAGTGCAGTTGGCGGGCTCCTCATCCAGGCTCCACCCCTGGGTGGGGGTGCAGAAGGCGGGGTTACCGCGCCAAGGCCCGGCTGGCGGCCGTTTTACAACAGCTGGGGGTCTGTGGAGACTGATGGAAACTGGGCTGGGCGAGAGCCTTGAGCTCGGGCACCTGAGAGAGCGGGGGCCCGCCTGGGAGGGTTGAAAGACGTGAGTAAGCCTTCTCTGCTCGGCCCACACTGCTCTCTTCTTGCTAGGGGTGTTCCAGTTGCTGGGGGCAAAACACGTGTAAAATCCTAGAAGCTCGTCTTCCTTGAGCTAGTCTCAGGAAACGTGCACCAAATGGGCCACTATCATCTTTTCTGTGGTCTCTCCTCACACCTTCTCTGCTACCACCCTAGCCACTTCCATCTCCCTGGAATTCCTGTAGAGGCTCTGCCTCCACCCTACCCCTATGTTAGGGTTGCCTGATAAAATACTGATTACTCAGTTACATTTGAACGACGGAGACACAACGAGCACATTTTTAGTGTTAGTATGTCCCAAATATTGCACGGGACATACTTATACTAAAATATTATTGTTTATCTGACATTCAAATTTAACTGAGCATCTTATTTATTAGCTAAATCTGGCAACCCTACCCTATAGCCTGCTCTCCACCAAGCAGGGCTTTGGTCAGCTCTTGTCACTGAAAGCCGTACCACGTGGTTGCACACGATGAATGTAATTAACATCACTAAATTAATTGTACATGTAAAAAATGTTGAAATGGCAAATGTTTTGTTATATATATTTTACCACACACACACACAGAAGCCCTACCATGGTTGCCCATTTCACACTGATGAAAAGATAAAGCCTCTGATGGCCTGCAAGATTCTCGGCTGGAATTCCTCCCAGCCTTGTCCCTGAGCTGTTTTCCTCACTGTCCCTCTGAAGCCTACACAAGGCCCTCACTTGCCTCCAGATGGCCGGAAGTGTCGTGACTTTCGAAAATCATCCATCCAGCCCGAGTGACTTGAAAATGTACCTCAGTTAACCATCTCTGGCTTAAAGTGTCCCCCAAATATCTATGTATTACCCCCCATGCCCCACAATCCATCAACGCCCTAGCGTTCTCCATCTCAGGAAAAGGCACCATGACCCACTCAGGCCGGAAACGGCAGTCAGCCACGTTACCGCTCTTTCCGTCACAGTCTCCATTCAAGCTAGCAGCAAGCTCTGCCAGGGCTACCTCCCAAAGGTACACCAAATTTATCCCCGACTCTGCATCTCAATCTAAGTACTACCATCCTAATAGTCCAAAGCCAACAGCATTACTCACCCAGACTACAGAAATAGGCTCTAAAATAGCGCTAACTCTACTCTCCCCCCCACCCTCCATTCTTCGCACAACCAGAGGAATCTCTTAGTCATAAATCAAATCATACTCTTGCTTAAAACCCCATAATAGCTCCCTGACTGAAAATAAAATTCATACCGATTTCCGGGCTTAGTGAGCCCTTCAGTTTTGGGTGCCAGCTTACCTCATCGGCCTCATCTGTAACCGCAGTCCACCAGTCAGCCATCTTGAACTTTCGGCAGTTCCCGCAAGAAGCCGTGTTTCTAACACATTGTTTCCAATGAGAAAACTGATTTCGGATATGCTTGGCAAGTGCCTTTAACCACTTTTAGCATGGCAAACTTCTATGTAAAACAAATAATCTTCTAAATAGGTAATATATGCACAGGGTACAAAGTGAAAAAAAATATAAAAGAAGAAACAAGGATAAAGCCTGTTCTCCAGACACTCGTTTCCCTTTCACAGAAGGGACCACTAGTTACCAGTTTCTTGTCTATGCAATTTACAAATATTACATGTTTATATTTTGTTCCCCCATCCAAATGGTAATATACTCTTGGGGCACCAAAACCAAACCCATTGTCAGTCGACTGGATTCAGATTTATAGCGACCCTATAGGACAGAGTAGAACTGCCCCATAGGGTTTCCAAGGCTGTAAATCTTATGGAAGGAGGCTGCCACCATCTTTATCCCATGGATCAGCTGGTGGGTTCCAACTCCGGACGTTTTGCTTAGCAGCCCGGCACTTTACCGACTGCGGCCACCAGGACTCCTCACTATTGGGGTGACCAATCTTTAAAGAGCCAACCTGGGACACACCTGTCCTAGGTGAAAAAACCTGTAACATATAGTAAATAATTATACACATATGTGTCATTACTTTAGTACAAAACAAAAACTAAATGTTTGTTTGAAATTATATGTATTTCTGTTATTTACTTTTCTGTTTCATAGATACTATTATTTAAGCAAAACAATAGGACTAGTTAACAGTGGCAATTAATTGTTAGGTGCCATGGAGTTAGTTCTGACTCATAGCTACCCTATAGGACAGAGTCGTAGAACTGCCCCATAGGGTTTCCAAGAAGGGGCTGGTGGATTTGAACTGCCAACCTTTTGGTTAGTAACTGTAGCTCTTAACCACTGCACCACCAGGGCTCATAGTAATTAATAGTAGGACTAATTAATATGTATGAGAAAAATATAACAATAGTTTTATAATATTTTCACCCTCTATCACAGCAATTTAACTTTTTTTTAACTCTTTATCAGCTATTTAAAATTTTGTAGGTCATATTATTGTGTATTCTTAAGATTCATAAATGTAAGACTTTCAAAAAGAGAATGTAAATACAATAAGACAGAATAAACAAATATCACCTATATTTAATAAAAATTAACAAGTATGTCTCTTTTGGTTCCATGGTACACTAAGGTATTTTTACTCTTTGTTTCCTTTTCCAATAATACTTCTATGAACTGCCTGCAGTCTTTATGACATCCTCCTTTTATTTTATGTAGTGGTAAAACTAAATATAGTCAAACGTAAAATTCACTTTGACTTGTATCTCTGCTCTTATCAAGTGCACATTAGGCTGATTCTTGGTGTAATCAAGCTAAATATCCTCTCAACAAAAGTGTTTGAGTATGGACTTCTTAGGATTTTTACTTACTAGCAACAGCAGGTTTTTAGACTTTAGGAATTAGTTCCCACCTCTCCAAAAATGTCCATCCATTATGAACTTGTCTTGGTAGACCAGCTGTTAGTCAGTCAGGCCCTTTGCATCTGTACATTCATCATATAGGCTGTCCATAACTAAAATGTCCATCACTTTTGAACACTCTGAAGCACATTAGATATCACCATAAGGTAAACCTCTTTCTAAGGAAAAATGGTTTTAAAGCACAGAGGTTATTTGAACATGTGAAATTGAAATTGGATTCCAAATAAGTTACAATTTTAGTAAAGAAATGAACAAGTCTTGTTTAACTTGAGTACTTTTTTTTTTTAATTCTGAAGCAGTCTTATTTCTAAAAATTGAGTCTTCTTTTTCTGTATGAGGTTTTGTTGCAACCTACGCATAACATCAAACAACTTAGGTGTAGTTAATCCTTTTCTAGCTTCCTTATGGCTTCTTCAAAGATCATCAGTTTTGGAGAAACAGCATATAAATCTGTTTTATTGTAATCCTTTTCTCCATTCTCATCCTCAGTGTATTTCCAAATTAGAAAAGGACGTTTTTCTTGTCCCACATTTTGATAACATGAGTTTACAGCAGGCCAACATTTAATATTTTTTCTGTGACCAGTAACAATGATAACCATCATATAGGGTACATGTCTGTTACGGATTGAAATGTGTTCCCCCAAATATGTGGCAACTTGGTTAGGCCATGATTCCCAGTATTGTGTGGTTGTCCTCCATTTTGTAATCTGATGTAATTATCCTCTTTGTTATAAATCCTAACCTCTATGATGTTAATGAGGCAAGATTAGAGGCAGTTATGTTAATGAGGCAGGACACAATCTACAGGATTATGCAGTATCTTGAGTCAATGTCTTCTGAAATATAAAAGAGAGAATTGAGCAGAGAGAGAGAGAGGGACTTCATTACCACCAAGCAAGAAGAGCCAGGAGTGTAGTGCATCCTTTGGACCCAGAGTCCCTGCGCTGAGAAGCTCCAAGACCAAGGGAAGATTGATGACAAGGACCTTCACCTAGAGCTGACAGAGAGAGAAAGCTTCCCCTGGAGCTGGTGCCCTGAATTTGGACTTTTAGCCTTCTAAACTGTGGGAGAATAAATTTCTGTTTGTTAAAGCTATCCACTTGGGGTATTTCTATTATAGCAGCAATAGATAACTAAGACAATGTCTAAAGGAAGTTATCGCCTTCTATTTTTATAAATTAAAAAATCTCACTAGATGCTTCTGTACATTTTAAGGAAACTTTTCAGTGACCAAAAACTTTCATTATGAAAGCCTCAATAGCACAGGTAAACAATTTGTATCCCTTCTTAGCCTTATTGTGTACAAAGAGTGCAGGACATTTAGCAGGTAAGATCTTTTCATTTTCAGAGTTTATAGACTGTATGTAATTTGTCAACATTTATATTTCCATTGTCTGCTGAATAGGAACATAAATTAAATCTAGTTTGTATTTGGACAAGATATCAACCATCTTTTGTTTTATGTTTTCTGTGGTTTTATTAAAATTTTCATAGAATTCAAGAAGACTATTTGAAACTCCATTTTTCAAATCAAATTCCTAAGAGCTAGAAGGAACTTTTTTTTTCTTGTTGCTATGATTTGACAAATCAATTCATAAACTTGTAGAAAGTATGATCATTGGTAAGGTCTGACAGAATCAACTCTACACTGTAAGACGCCAACACATCTATTATAAAAATTTCCCAGTTTGTTTGCCCACAGGACATTTTAATGGCAACCTCTGTATCAGGGAATGTAACTTAACTCAGTTTCATACAACAATCAAGGGAACTTCACAATGATGTGTGTTTGTTTATACGGTATCCCAAAGCTAATTCAAAGGCTGTTATTTTTGGCTGAGTATTTATGTCTTTTTGGGAGATGAGAAAAGTTTTGATTGATTTAAAAGTAATTTCCTATCTTATCCCAGACTTTTGAGATTTAGTT